AAAAAATTTTTTTTTTAATTTAAACCGGAGCTTAATTAAAAGACGCTTTAAAAATGAGAATAATTTAGAACGAAAAAAAATTTAAGAATGTAAAGAAGTGGTGAAATTGATTCTCAAATTTCAAGAATTTTATTCCGACATTTAAACGGCCATTTAATTACCAAACTGTTTAAATCCAATGTTGAAATCTACAAGATTGTTAGTGAGATTTGATTAAAATATGACAATTACGTCGATTAAATTTGTATTTATAAAATGTCGAATTTTAAAGATTTCCTCGAAGAGATTGCGATGAAAAAGCTCGATGATACTCTGTGTGTTATTCGCGAATATGGAAGAAAATTAAAGCCTCATTTGTCGAGTTAGTATTTAACGAGATTGCATGGCATATGGGCAAAAAAATTGATAAATTCCAACATGTCCAGCAGTCTCGTCGAGTTAAACGGTTTAACGGATGTTTTTATCGTCAAGTAGCTGCGTGTAATTCTGGACCACATGGTACGCGTACTTAGCGGCATTATATACCAGAGTGAACCGATGATACATCGCGTAAGCGAGACAGCTGTGTACACCCACCTGCTGTAGGTCGTACTCGGGAAGTGTATTCTTGTGCTCTAGGAATACATCGTCAGTGAAAGCATGGAATCTGTAGAAGATGGGATCTCTCATAGCGGTGGCCGGTTCTCCCATGATACTGAAAGTTTCCTGCGGGCCGGAACATGAAAAAAGAAAATGTTCCGTTTATCATATCAATGTAGCATGATTATTCGCATGAAATTTCTTTTTAAGTGAAAAATAGAGGCGTGCTCAAAAATTACGCATTTTTTTCTCGATCGAAATCACTTTATGTTAAAAAATGAAGAAGAAAATAACGATTGCTTTAACGCGCTTGATTAAAGTAAGGGTTATTTAATGTAAAAAATTATAAATTATTAACATTATAAAATCAAGTTTTAGTAAAAATTTTCGCAATTTTTATTTTATTTTTTTGCAACTAATACCAGCAATTGCGTATCCTATTACCAAGTAGCGATGATCGGGATCATGGCAGTAAGAGATGGCAACGTGACCGAGATTGTGAAGGTCTCCGTATACATTTTGATTGGGCGAAAGGATGCTCGCCTCCATGATGTTACCAAGCACGTCTATGCCACCGAACTCGGTCAAAGGCACTCTCTCGCCGCGGGGGCTGATGTAAGCGCCGGTGTGAATGGCTTCATATATGCGATCACGCCATCTTTCTAGGTCTTGAAGGTCGAAGTTCAATTGATCCACAGGCCGGTTGATATCTTTAAGAATAGCGCCGGCGGGGCGGGCGGGCCAAGTGCGACTGGCCACCAACGAATCCAACTTAGGAAAGTAACCCTCCGGGATCGGTTCGCGCCAATTGTGGAAACGCTTCACTCGACCCAATCGGTTGCTCAGACGCTCGGCATTATATCTGCGAAAAGCGGAATCAAGAGGAATCCAAATAATAACACAGAGACCGTGGAAATTCCCATCGATAATACCCCAGGCGATTCAGATGTTCGGTATTTCGACATAAATGACGTAGACTCGTATACTAGACAGTATAAGGAAAGACGTTACAGAAAATAGACACTTGTTGGTAAATGTATAACTTTTACATGATTAATATAGTGAGAATAATAATAATAATTTTATTAATTGGTATAACAATAGTTAAAACGCTATTATTGCAAATTACAAATTACAGAAACATCTCATGTAAGTTTAAAAATAGCTTCTCGTAATATCTCTTAATTCGCATCGCTCTCATTTTCCTAGTGTACTTTCATAAGTGCTTTCAACAGGCATTTAAATTTACATTTATTTCCGAAATTCATCGCTGAATAATTTTGCTCCGTTATTCTACGCGCAAATGCATTTCCGAGCTCGTTAGCAAACATTGCTCGAATACTATGCAGAATTGAAACGAGTTCTTGCGTGATAATAACGATCGAGATCAAAATGTGATCTCGGTCGCCTATAACACCCGCATGATCTAGGCACGGCAGAATAGAGTATCCAATCTTATCGACTTACGTGCGCTCGCTGGCGCACTTACCTGGTTTGGATCTGGTGGTGCATATAGTAGAATAGCTCGCCACGCCGATCCTTGTTAACAATCCTGATGTCGGTCTCAAATGGATAGACCAGATGCCAGTGCCAGTGATGAAGATTAATCCCAATATCTTCCCTCCAGTAAGCTACGCGATGTTCCTCGTCAAGATCCGACGCAGTATAATCCCGCGGAATTTCAATAGGCACCTTTGAATTGTAAGGATAACGAGACAATAAAACGACTTTTGCGTTGAAAATTAATATAAAGCGGCACCTGTTAGATCGACCTATTATATCTTCCATTATCGTATTATAACAATTTATACACTATAACTTTTCAGTTAAGAGGCGATTAACGAGAATGCTAAAAGTTGTTGGGATATTGTACAAATTCAATAATGTGATCTAAATTATGAAAATTTTGGAAAATTGCGGTCAAGCAGCTAAATACATTCCATTAGTTTTGTACTACAATGGATTGTATGTGAATTACTAAACTATTAAAGAATACAATCATTCGTTTCATTGTCTCGTCTTATATTTTCCGAAACTTAAAGGTGAAAATTGTCTTTAAAACGAAAAAGCTTTCCACGTTTACTTAATTTATGTTGTCATTTGCCTTTCATTCAAAGAATAAGCCAGCTAATTAAACAGTACAATTGAGTAACGAGCCTGTTGGTAATTAATGCGTTAGAGAACAAGTACCCTGGAGCCAGCTGGTACAACGTTGGCTTCCTCCCTCGCCCTGGCAAATATCCCGCTATCTATGTACTTGTCCGGGAAAATTTCTGATAGCGGTGGTATTGGTAAATCCTTGGTATCTGGACGATTCAGAATCGCCACCGACAGTGCGTAGATGAACATCTCGGGATTAACGCGATCGCGACAGTAAACCGATACCGAAAGAAAGTCGTCATACGTTCGCATACCTATAACACGTATTAATAAATAATCAACGAGTTTGTGCTTAAATCAAGTTTGCATAAGCATAACATTGTAACTTGTAACAAGGGGAGAGTGGTCTAAATCGGACCGTATTCCAAATAGGATCTTTTTAATTTAAATGAATACAGTTTGCGTACTCTCTCTCTATTTATAATGTAAAGTCCTTATAAGACACCGAACATGTGACAGCAGTTTGACAGTTCTCTGTCATAACATTCATAAAATAGACGCAAATATGTATTTTCAGCCATCGCATTATGATTTAAGAGTTCGAGATTTTGGCCAAAACCTAATATTTTTTAGTATTCTCACCAAAATTTATAAATGATCATATATTCTAATAATAAAAATATTTCTCATGACATTTTTAATATTTTGAAAATTAAGGCACTTTCACACCGTATGTGTTTTTAAAAATGAATTATCCAACTAAATTTTGTAATAATAAACTTCAATGAATAATTTAATATATTTATACATATGTATTCATAATATACTGATTTACAATGTAATCATTATTGCCTTCCTCTAGCCAGATTTCGAATAACTTTTCATATTTGCAAAATGATGCATGCCTAAAAAGAATAAGTAATGACTATTTATCCGGCAGCCTCTGGAAGCTAGATCTTGAATAAAATTGATCACAAAGAAACATTTTACAAGATGTCATGTGAGCAAAATCAAGAGATTTTTTGTAGGCTGTATTAATTATTATTTTATTATTACGCAACGTAAATTTACACTAACGTTGTGTGTTCTTTAATTTCTCTGTGTGCTTGCATAAGTTTTGATTACTAATTTTTTATAAAATAGTATAATAAATACCTGCAACAAGCGAGTTATATTTATAATTATATAAATTCACATTTTATATTTATAATTATAGTGAGTGTAAGAAGTCAATTATAAAAAAACCGATATGAGTTCTTTGATTACTGACATGTTACCTTTCAAATTCTGTACGTAAAAGATCCTATTAAAAAATCCGAAAAAATGACCTTTTGGCCAAAATTTTGAGTTCTTAAACCATAGTGCATCGTGCGAAATTTTTTTAAAAAAGAAAATCCTTGTAAATCATTATTTAAAAGGTGTTAAAAATTTGAAAGGTAATTGATTTAAGATAATTAAAGAGTGTAGAATTAAAAAATATCAATTTTGTATTACTTTTGCGGTTTAATGTAAAATTTGTTCCAAAGTTGAAAAGAACCGTGTCCAAATCGGACAGTAGGTACAGTAGATAACTTATAGGCCTGGTTGTAGTATTGGTGATCGGCCGACCAGATCTGGTCCAAAGAATTAAATCAGTAAAATATCATGAATCATCAGACTCAGATTAATTGATTTTTATTGATTTCAATTCTAATAATATAAACTGTCAGTAATTTTCTTTTTCTGAATAAAGTTTTTATCTTTAACTATCAAATCGCTCGTTTTTATTCAATACTAACAAAAATACATTAAAATATTTTTTAATTCTATTTAAAAGTCCATAAAAATAGGTGTGTTCGATTTGAACGAGGGGATAGTCCGATTTGGAACCAATAGTTCCAAATCGGACCGGAAACAGCGTTTTTACATTTTCCATTATAATTCAACACAGGTGAGAGATACGTCAAAATGGTCTAAAGCAAAAATAAAGGGAATTAAATGATCTTTCCAACGGCACCTTCGTCGGTTTTACGATCGGACTTTATTTACGCCTTATAGAGAGCAAAAACTGCAAATAGGTCCGATTTAGACTATTCTCCCCTATATGTAATGCATTTCATTAATGTAATTAACATTTTTTTACGAAAGAAAAATTTAATGCAAAAGAAAATGGCCATATAATTCGGTTAAGACAGGTTTTTGGTGTCTAATAATATTTTTATGTGAATTTTTATAATTTTTCAACTCAAACAAACTGCGCGCTGATTACTTGTCCATCTTGAAACACAATCTTAGACAGAAAAATTTAATACTTGACGACTACATATATCTATTTTTAAATTGACTCGCAAACAAAAGTGAAATTTATATATAATTTGATAAGTAAAATAAATAGAACGTAATATAAATAAAGTCGTAAACAAACCCAAGAAGATGTCGATAAGTCGCGCGGCTAATTTTCGATGCTTAGGAATGAAAAGAGAGAAAGGTTCTCGACGTCCAAGTTGAAGAGGGACACTCAAGTCAGGCAGACTGATTTGCTTCACTGGAACCTTTGACGAGGTATCATCGGCGAAACGATTCACAATGGCAGGAGCCATCTGTTGCCGAGACTCAGGCTGTAAATGTGTTTAAAAAAAGTTTATATATAAAAGTTTGTATATGATCGATTCAATAACATTAATGAAGAAATATTTTTTATTTTGCGTTGAAAGCGCTCTATTTATTTTTATACTATTGCGCAATGTAAATAAACAAATTTTGTATTGCAAATTATTTTAAGAATTCTTATGTTCGAGAAATAAGAATTGAGTATATATGTATAGGACTTGAGAAAAAGTTTTTTATTTCGAGTCTTTTATTTCGTAAAACTATTTCGTGAAACTAGAAAAATCTTACATTTTATTTCGTGAAACTAGAAATCTTACATTCCTCGAGCATCGTGCATTACGATCTAAGACTTAATCTTAGATACGACCAAGAAATTTCTAGTTCTGTGAACTACAGAACAACATCAAACTGATGTGGAATTCAATATTGATACGCAATAAGACCGTCAACGATCAAGCTTACCAAGTAGTTAGCTGGTACATCAAAAGCGACTTTGTTCTCTCCCTTGGGTACGTACACCGGCTCCGCCGGTCGATCGAACAGATATAGAATATCCGATTTCTTGCTTCCCATTTTGACGATCAACAAGTGCGCGCACTAACTTGAACAAAATTGACAATCACGCGATCATACGCTTCAGAAATCGAAATCGAAACTACTATAAGTAAGAGAAATTATAACGGAAATAAAAGTAAGGATCACGACGTTGCTTCTGAGACAACGTATAAGTCTTTACGTTGCCGAGTACTTCTTTACAGGTATTTATAGGAGAATCACGGAGGATATGGCGGTTTGTCGATAAACGATGGTCGTCTTCAAGCGACCACAGGATCCGTTCACGAAATATAGGACAGTTCATATGCAAGTAGGAAGGATAAGCAACGAAAACACCGCGCTTAAACCGGATCCTGTGTTTACAGGTTTTCCTGTTTTCGAAGGAAATCGATAGCAATTAATCAGTAACGATCGCGCGAAACCACAAATAGGTCACCGTTATTTTATCGACGTTAATCGCATTTAATTTTTCTGATATATATATAACAATATTTACAATATTTATATATTATGTATAATAATAATAATAATTGTGCTTTATATATATTATATGTTATTATATTGCACATATAAGATATAAAATATATATTTAAATGCATTCCGGATCCGTAATATGTGTCAATGTAACATAACATGTGTATTGAAATATGATATCAATCGCAGCAGACTAATTATTTACATGTTATCATTAAACATAATTACTTATGTATGATACAATGCGAATAATCTGACGTACGAGCGATTATGACATTTAATGATATGCAACTGTTCAATGTAGCATAATTTTATTTGTATACATAATGAATGAATCTCTAGCGTTAATCGAATCACTTCCCTCTATCGATCTGACGGTCTCTATATACTACATTCGCACAATAATAATATAAATATCGATTAATATCCCCCTTATTCTCTATATCTATATTTAATATTAAGAATGAAAATATTAAGTAAATATTGTTCGTGAAATAAATATTTATCGTTCGAATCATAAGAAGGAGTCATAGGAAGGAAGAATTTCGTTTTGAATTCAATTCATAATTCAGATGTGTGCAAGTGCTCTTTATTGACTGTGCTTTTACATTTTTGTTCATTTCAGTTCGAGAGACTCTACTCTCTCGTCACGCCGATATGTTTCTCATGAAGAGAAATAATGATATCTCATTAGAGCCGCACTTAGAGTCGCAAATAGATACTAAAAACTAAAATGAAATTGTACGGAAATTTTATTATATCAAACGATATGTATAATTGGTTTGATAATATGTATCCTTAGGGACATCAAAAATTATTTTCAAAGCATACAGGGCATCGCAAAGAGAATGAACATCATTACGAAACTATATATGAATACTGGAATTTAAATTGAAAAAAATCTTCTCTAATGCCGGAGTATTTCGACGAGATATAAATGAGTGACAGTTTTGAGGCACTCTGTATATATTTAATATAATATAAATATTTTATATTTATAATAGGTGGAACACAAAATAATTAAAGAAAACTATGTACGAGGCAGTAAATCTTTGATCTTATAAATTTTCTATCTTATGGAAGATATTATGATAATCACGTTATTAATAAAATACAATTATTTATGATTATAATAATGATAAAATCCTTTTTATCTGCTCGCTACGAATATATATATTTTACATCTATCCGACAAACGCGTACAATACAATATTAGATTGAATAAAATCGAAAGAGAAGGAAAAGATAGAGAGGAAAATAATAAATTAACGCAACCATGTATATTATCCACACTCGTTCCCGTGGCATTCTTATCTCCCAAACCTCACATACAACAAATTTATTAAATTCACAGTCTCAGCATAAATCATAATTTTATATATATATATATGTATATGTACACTATGCGCCAGAAAAAATGCGACACTTTTTTAATCACTATTAAGTTTGCTGAGTGGGACACAGTAACGCAGTGATTGCAATTAAAGGAAATCATATCGAATAAATATTTGGTAGAAGGACAAAATATATGTACAATATTATTATATAATCAAATTTGCCCCCGTTCACTCACTTTATTTAACTAAACCGACAAATGAAGTGTTAGTTGTGAGAGTCGCATTTTTTTGGCGCATACTGTATATATATATATATATATATATATTAACGCTGATATCGATTATTTTGCGAGAGAGATTCCCTCCAAAGGGAATAAGATATTCAATCTTCTCCCGATGGACGTTTCGCAAGCTTGCACTAATGATAAAATCGATATGATAATTATCGGGATAATCTAGGCAAAGGTCCGTACAATTGCTGTGTCTAGCAAAGTAGAAGGGAAAAAAAGAACAAAAAAATAGAATAGATTTTATTTCACGTTCCGTAACTTCAACCCTCCTAGAAAACTTAATATAGAAAAAGTTTCGAAAAAGGTAACAAAATAAATAAGAATAGCAATTAATGTAAACGATGTAAAAGGAAATTAAATATAAATGATAACGAAACCGCTGTAGTAATAGTATTGAATTAAATATACAGGATACATTGTAATACATAAAGTCTACGTACATTTTAAGAATGGATTCTTTGACTAATTCGAAGCTAAATTTTCTTCAGCGAAAATTTAATTGGACACCATCTTCCTAATTCTTAAAATTAAATGCTTTAGTAATGAAATAGTCTCAAATTAAAATCCTATTAAAGTACTCGAACTTAAATAAGAAGTAAGCTTTCGTTTGCTTAGCTACTGTAGCTTTAAAGCTTAATTTGCGAAGTGGTGTCGGCCTTCAATTAATTATAATTTCAAATTGAGGCCTCAATATTTTTGTTACGAAAAAATCAACTGCTTAGTCAAATTAAAATCGAGTTTCTCAAAGAATCTCATCTTGGGGTATCTTCAACATCTTACGATATATCCTGCATAATGATAGATAGGAGAAGGGGATTCTAACACCGATAACACTCACAAGCTGTCGGAGAACATAGATTTCCGAAGAACGTTCACCGTTTCGCGACAGTGACGTCGCGTCTTCTTCTTCTGTTCCTCTTCCGTCGTCTACCTCTTCTTCGCCTTCTCATGACTCTATCCGTATTGCTGACGACGGTGTTACTATTTGTTCCTCTGCGACGTCGGCGTCGGAGCCATTGCGTGGTGTACGGGGTCGATTTTCGGACGCATCGCCAATCGTGACAATCTACCAGCTTTGAATCGCCGTACCATCTTCCATGGCAGATCGAACTGGTCGATTGACTGTACCGATTGCTGCTATCAGCAATATTAGTCGATAGCTTCCACTTGTTCACGCCCACGTATTTGTCCAAACTCTCGTTATCAGGACGCTCCACGCAAATGGACAAACCTGTGGTGATTTTAATCGCTCACCGTTTTTGTTTTTCAATCAACAGCATGTAATTTCAATTATATACTTGACGTTGCGAATTATTTTTATTTATTCGAACTCTAATGAATATTCTTAGTTTCTATATTTTAATTCCTTTCCAACATCTATATATAATATAATTCTATAGTATAATTCTAAAAATGTTTCAAAATTAAAAATTTTGTAATTATATGTTATTCGGTAATTAAATATTTTTCTTAATATAATTAATCTTTTCTAAAAACGTATATAACATAAACATATATGGAAAAAAACAATTAGTTTGATTTCTTTTATATTAATTATAATAATGATAATAAGAAAGGCAAAATGGAATTAAATGAAAAGGCATACCTATAAAAGATGAGGAATACAAGATAGCTAATTTAACAGCGACATAGAGATAATAAGTAAGTCATCATCAAAATAACTTTCTTTCATCCGCAGGTTTCCGCGTTTCGTGGCTTATCTACTTTAGATACGTCGCCGGTAGGAAACAACCGTTATCTCCACCACTGCATCCACTACATCCGGTCGATTCCTTCGTGATAACAGCCGTCGTAGAGTAATGTCGCGGGAGCTACGCTCTAATTTACATGACGTTACGTCGCGCAACCGTGATGGCACGTTAATTGAGACTAGATCGCGTCGCTTCATTTCCACGTTAGCGATTTATCATTATGCGAATTTCGTATTCAAAATTTGAGGAATTTAGATTCCATTAAAGACACCATCTTATTACACGGTTTTAAGTAAAGGATCTCATTCCTTAAGCTTCCTTTGACAGATATGAGAAAATCAATTTACAAATAATTACAATCATAAGATTAACAGAATTTATCGTCATCTTTTATGTCATTAAGGCCCGATTGCATCAATGTTACTTTAACTTTAAGCGAGACTTAAAACTTCCTCTGTCTCGTTTTAAAGCTGAAAAAGAAACATAGACAGAGAAAGTTTTAAGCCTCGCTTAAAATCAAAGTAATGCTGGTGCAATCGAGCCTAAATTACATAAGAAAAATATTCAACAGTTGTGGAAATAATTGTAATAATATATCCTATTCCGTAAAACACAATTATTGTATACGTTCCAGTAAATTTGAAGTTACTTTTGAAGGTTTATATGACATTTGAGACTTCCCATCATGCTATTGCAATTGGCTATCCGACTGAATTCGACATACGTATTTTTAAATAAAGGCAATAAAGGAAATAATATCTACTGATTGCGTCCGAAATTATTGAATTAGAAGAAAGAAATAATAATTGTTTCACCACAGAATTTTTACATGACGGTTATTGTTTTAATTATTTAATTTTTATAAATGTATTGTAAGGTAGAATCGAATATTATGTATTATATATTTGACTAACATTGAAAATGTCCTAGTGGTACAATAAAACGTTTATTTAATTATGTACTTTGATTTGTAAGAATTAGTAAACATTAGCAATTAACAACCAGCATTGGCTCTTTGCCCTTTTTATCATTTCGAATTGTTTGAAGTTATATCTTGGTCGCGCGTGTAAAGATTTTAAACAATTTTTCTAAAAAGAGTCGAATATTTTTTTTAATAACCTACATATTTATTAGCGCAAAAATGCACGATTTCTCGAGTTTTGTATTTCACGCGATATAAATGAGAATATCAAAGAGTTAAAATTAATATTCTAAGTTTTTTGAAACTCGCCGGGCACGCGGGCTAAGGAATCTTGCTTTTATCATGTCAGACGGCTAAGAGAGAAGACTTTCGCGGAGCGATAATTTTTCGCTCGAAGCGTAATCCCGAGTTTTACATACCGCCGCGGAGATGCGAAACGTTTTTCGCAAGAAGACAAGTCTATTGTCTCTTCGAAGCATTATGGTTACAAAAAGCTTGAACGCGCGGGGCAAGGACTTAACCGCGAAAAAGAATGGCCGGTATGCGAAGCATCCGCCGTTGTTTTTCCTCTTCGTTGCAATATATACTCTGTTTTTATAAGCTCCGTAATGTTTTACTAAGCATCTTATTCATTCTTAACATGAAAATGTAGCTAAAAGTTTCTGATTTACTCTAACATTTTAAAAAGCAAATTATGAAAAGTTTTAAAATATTAAAAATGATAAAGACGCGCGTGACAATTTAAGTTCAAATAACGATATTTTACTTAAATTTACTTAGTTAAATATAAATGGTTTGTTTTATGAGTTTATAAAAAAAACATGAGAACTTATAAAGAATTGAAAGTATCTGTCGAATGATAAATTCTGATTTAGTCTAGTATTCATAGGCAGTACTTATATTTGAAACTATCTTAAGTATAGTCTTGAGATGTAAAAAAAATTAATCTCACACAGAGAGAAAGAAAAAGAGAAAGAGAAAGAGCTGTATTGATATCTTAAAATATTATCTAAGAACGGACTATAAATAGCAGTCTTAATCTTCAAAGAAAGGAACTAATTTTAACTATTTTAAAAATCTAGAACCAAGAGGAAGAGGAAGGTCGCGATATCCGATATTCATTCTGCATTTGTATTTGGATCTTCGACCTCAATAATAAAAATAGCGTCCTATTAAATAGAACTCCTATTTCCAATTAAGATTAGGCTCGGCTATTATTATTAGATACTTATATACGAACCTTGCGAGAGCAATTCCAAAAACTTGCCACAACCCCGTGAACTCCACGTTATGGTGAAAGGAATGCAGCTGCCTCTGAAACGTGTGTAATATCGGTTTTTATATTAAATATCGCAAAGCCCAGAACAAAACGTGTATGTTCCCTGGTATATTTTCTCGTTAGCCACCGCACCACACACACTATATGACGGAACCCAAAGGGCTCCATTGCTCGTTGGCGGCTTGTATAGTTTGCTTTACCCGCTCGACATAACGTCACAGGGGAATCTCGATACTGCGATGCGATGTTTGCTACGTGTTTTGTAACAGGTCGGAGCACGTGTCAAATTAGATACTTGACACATCGGCGATTCTGTCTTGGTTACAGAACGGCGCGGGATTAAAAATGTATCCCGAGGGAGGTATTCCTCGTCAAACAGAGAAGGCTTTTAATGGAATTGAATCATAATGCTTGATCGCGCGATAGGATAACGAACTTTGAAAATTAAGGGCAATCAACTTATTACGCACGAACGCTTCGCACTATTAATAATGCATACGAAATGCGATTGAAAATTATTAATTATATCGTTCGTTGGTGCATAGAAAAAGGGATAATGCATTACATACATTAAAAGCATTAACGACATCGTATTCTGCAACAAACCATATAGAATTCTATCGCATAGTGTCATTTATCTAATCGAGTACTTATCTAGTCATCATTTAATTAAGTCGAAGGACTTTTGAAACTCCTACACGCAATAAACGATAAGTTTCAATAATGTTCAAAATACGAAAGAAATATAATTCTAAAAGTAGGGTAGAGCGGGGCTAGTTATGACACTTTTTCTTTAAATTATTATAAATCTCCACACAATTATGATAGATTAATGGTGAATGCTTTAAAATGTTGCATATTCATCTGGCTCAATAATTAAATCCTTAATATATCTCGTAAATAAGAAAAAAATTACGTTAATTACAAGAATGCAAAGTGGACCAATATGCCCCATCTATGGGGCATGATATTAAGCATCCTCGAAGCATGAGCCATGAAGGTAATCGTTTAATGAGGTTATATATCATTAAAAACATGAAAGGATTATGTGTATATTAATCAAATTTTTATTATTTGCATCTTAAATATAATAATTTGTAATATTCTTTCTTTTTAAATGCTTTAATTAACAAAATTAGAAAAACTAAAATCTTTACTCTTTATAATAATAATTAAACGTAAAGTATATGTTTAATCGTTGACATAGAATAAAAAGCATTGATAAAGACAGATTTCATTTAAACAGCTGAGTTATTATAAGATTAGTTACGTATGAGGTACTGGCCCAACAAGCCCCATATCGGTGTCGACTGAAATACTTTTTTATAACTGAAAAAGCGTAAATAAAATAGCAACTTAAACATTAAAGTTAAAAAATACGATATAATAACTTATATCTAAAAAACACATTTGATTATTATCAATCGCTCTAATTACCATGTAGACCAAAAAGAATACTCACCTAATAATTTTACTTTTGATATACAAAAACGAAAAAGCGTACGTATTTGGCTGTTGATAGCCGGACACAGATTATTGTATTAAGGTACAATAATCTCTGTCTTTGTGCTACATTACGCAAGCATAGACGTATCTATATATATTTTGGTTATTTAGATATTTGCATTTGACCAACTTGCCCCTATGCTTAAATAGCCCCGCTCTACCCTACTAACGTTTTTTAGTCATTAAAAGAACCAAACGAATAAATAATAATGTCCGACTATTTTAGTGATTATTTTACTACAAATGAAAAAATAATTTTAAAAACTAAATATTTTATTAATATAAAGAACATAATTATTGAAAAGTCAAAAAGTTTCAGAATCTTATCTTTTACACAAAAAACCTAATATTAATATAAAAATAGAAGCAATCAATAATGAACTTGATTTATATAGTAATAAACAATTTTACGCGCTTTAATTTTTCTACAAATCTGTCGTTTTATCTACTTTCGCGCTGGCAATCAGAGAAAACGGGAAAGACATTGTTTCTGCAGCACGAATTGGGAACATGTGTGGCAAATCGCATTTCGCACGAACCCGAAGCACGGAGGCTTGACCTACCTTTTATCGATGATCTTATCCTTGATCCTTACATCCGTACTGTTGCCGTCGCCCGGAAAAATCTCAAGAAGCGTCACACCTATGGCAAATAAAAGGAAATCGTCTAGGATCGAACAACGGTAGACAGACGTCAAGAATTTCGCATCGCGCTAGATACAATCGAAGATAATCCGGGTCTTTTCATTCTTTAGAACGGGAAACGCTTGAAAAATGTCAGACCATTATAGTTTTTACAGAAACTAGAAATTCAAGGAAGAATATAGAAAAAATTAATATTCCTTTTTATACCTCAATTTTCTCCAATGTAATTTAATCTTCAATTAATCACGCGATTATTATAGCAATAATAATTATTGAAAAAAAATTATTGTCCGATTATTTTAGGTTGATTGTATTTGTTTACGAAATAAGAATAAAAAACCTCAGTACGACCTCATCCGACTAATTACATTGTACAAATTCAACGAGTCTAATTAACCTGGGAATAATCATTTGGAGTGTTTTTATATCCCAGCGGTGAAAAAATGTGAATTGTAAAATTTTGCTTTTTACGGATATTATCTAACATATTTTCTTTCTCTTTTAACAATTATTTTTTACGAACATTTAAATACGAAATTTCATTGAAAACCAACAATACAAAAGCATCGTATTGATTAAAATCATCATTATTTTTTAAATATATTGTTATAATATAAGTTGTTACATTTAATGTTTACTACATTTAATATTTCTATGCTTTTTACTTATTTTTTATATAAAATTATAATTAAGTTCATATCCATAATGTTCTTAAATATTAATAAAATAAAAATAATTGGAGAATAATCAACAGAGTATATACAATGTTGTGTATCACTAACAAGTGATTTTAATTGGGGTGTAAAAACTGGTGATTGTTTACGTAAAAAAAGAACAGATACTCTTAAGTTAAAAGTTAATTTTTGCTGTTTGGAAATATTCCGAAAATAGAATGCAACGTATTTCCTTGAAATCGATCAATGCTCACTTTTAGCATGTGGCTGCGAGCGAATTCCAGCGTGACATTTTTGGAAGCTGCGGCACGTCCTCTCCTGGTCCAAGTGCGGACAGTGCTTTCCGCCATTCTTTTCCTCAATCTCGATCACCCGGCTGCGCCTTTGAGTGCCACTTCCGCATTCGTTATCGCAAAGAGTCCACGGACTCCATTCGCTCACCACGCAGTCGACGACTGTAAGGAGGGAATGAACGCGACGTTAAGATCTGGCCATCTGGTCGTTTCTCGCAGACAAACGATAAAATTGTCCCGAAAGTGCTGCGCTGGTAAAATACGATTGATAAATCGATAACGGAACATTTTCGGTTTCTTATCATTTAAGTTCTTCAGCTTCCATTCTTATCTTAATATTAACAACGTTGTTATAATATTTTTTAATTGGAAGATATAAATTTTTAGAATAAAATTTTAAAGTTATAGCATACGAGATATGTATATGTGCATAGAAAAGATCGAGCATGTTATTTTCCCGATATTTTACGACGCTCATAAAAGCAGCTCACAGAAATAGCGATTTACGAATGTCCTTCCAAAATGCATTTCACCATGCATTTTATTACTCCGCTGTATCGCCAGAAAACTGAAGGGACAATTTGAGTTGAGTAAAAATGCAATAAACGCGCATCGGCAATCACTGATGCTTCTCTCCATTAAGGAGCGCGATAGAATGCGAATGATGGAAATTCACTTAACGTGCTGCTACTCCATTTCGCGCGAAATGCATCAAGAACAAGTATCGCGACATTTAAAAAGTGGAACTACGCCAACGGCGTTAATTAAGAGGGTATTTTACTTTGTAGCGCATTTTTTAAGCGATTTTTAAGAATTTTTTTTGAAAAAGTGAGCGAATATTTTTGAATTTTTTAAAAAGGGTTTTATTTATTGAAGTTCAAAGATCAAATTTTTATTTTTTTTAATTAAAAAATATGAATAATATTCGACATATTACAAATACATTTTCCCTCTGCATTGTATACGGAGTTCGTCGGCAACCATGATTCTAGGTCTTCCAGTGAACTGAAATAAAAAAATAAGACTTCATTTTAATCAGGACACTTGGGATGATCGTTGGAACTAAAATAATTAATTTCGCTCAATAAATAAATAAATGACACTTATTTAAAGAAAAATTTGATTTTTACATTTTTTTTAATATTTTCGAGCTCCAAAAGAAAATATAAAAAATTAAATTATCAAAGTCATTTTAGTTCCAACGATAAATGAATGTGTATTTTATAAGCCCTTAAAATTTGGAGCTGATTGGTGCAATGGTTTTCTTTCAATCATGGTCGCCATTCCGAAAAAGTCGTTTCGAGAAAATTGCGTTTAAAGTTTGCATTGATATTTTTATGCAAATAACGATAGAATTTTGTAACTTACGTTTAGTCAGCAATTCCGGGACCATAAAGTGGACCTTCCTCCGCCTCATAAACAGCCTCCTTTGCTGCTCTTTCCTTTCGAACTACTAATCTCAACTTTTTTGTCACCTCAGACGCCCGGAGTTCGGATCGGACAATTCGAGTTTCTTCCCGCGAAGCTGCTAATTTTTGAACGGCGGGTCCAATTTTAATTCCCATTGTGATCATCATTTTCAAAATATTGTCAAAACCCTCATTAAAAATGCAAACAGCTAAATACGTGGCTATATCGATGATAACTCTGCCGGAGTGGATGTGTTTCGGCGATCCATATTCGCAAACTATCTTGTTTTAGTTTATGTGACTTATGTATAACGTTTTTCACCTCTAATCTCTATACTCGCGCCGAAAGAAGGTAAAAAACTGTTAGAAATTTCCCGCCACAAATGAATATAGCGACAAGTGTGAGAAAAGAGGCATTACCAACAGTAAAAAAGTCTTTTCCTACCGACGACCGCGTGTCTCAAATAGCGCGCTGACAGCTGCGCAGAATAACTATTGTAGTTTTGTTAATATTTCGAATTTTTGTATAAAATTTTACAGATACAGTCTACAGACTATAAGGATTGAAAAATGTAAAAAAAAACGATTTTTTTTTTCCTAACAAAGTAAAATACCCCCTTAAGTACTGTTTTAAATGAAATATCGAGGAGTCATTAGTTTGCGTGCCGACTTTTTTTAATGGCTACATTAAGTGAGAGACGAGCAATTAATCGAAAGATAATTGTTTTTTTTTATTGAACTACAGCAGGTTCAACAATACAGTTTATTTTATACTGAGAAAAATTTCTAGTTAAAAATGAACGAAAAAGAAGATTCTGATTATATCAATCAGAATTCTGGTTATCTCAACTAGAATTGTAATAAATTTATCCAGAAAATTTTGATTTATCCATTTTCAATCAAAATTCTTATTAATGCAATCAGACTTTTTTCTAATGCACATTTCATAGAATTCTAAGATATTTCTTTTCCATAATAGAATATCATTACGCAAGTTGAAAAGGCAATTAGAGAAAAGTATTTATATAAACGACACTTTGCTCTCTCATGTGTGAAATATAGAGGAAAGAGATTCACTTTGAAATGACTGCAAAGTGAAATTTATCAATATGGTGCATAACGAGAATATGAAAATGAAATATCACCCGATTGATGAAATTAAATTAAATACTTTGTGTAATTTTATATTCGTATTTTATCACAAATAGCGTATAATTAAATGACGCACGTTACTTTATTAATGTAATTATTGTAATCGCAACATTTGTACGTCTCGTGCACATACATATTGATGTATTAATATAATCATTAGCATTTTCAATTTTCGCGCTTGTACGTTCTCATTCCTCGTTTTCAAATCAGTAATAATTTAAAGATTTATTATACGATCGCGGCTGAGCGGACATTACAGATATGAGAGAAATATTTTATCGGAGGACAGAGGTGGACCGGTCACGGCTACAGCCGCAGATGTGGACTAAAATTCGAACTGCATTTTGCATAAGCTGTCGACAAGTGACGAGAACTGCGGTACAGGCACAGTAAACAAGTATAACTACTTGTTTATTGCTTCTTTTATAGTTACACGGCGCTTATAGTTGGCGGCTCCCGTCGAATACGATCGCTACCGGGACCTGGTCGTCGATCGATTGTACACTCGAACTAAATTATTCCGCGTGCCCACCGGTCGACGCGACAGTCCGGTGAATGCGAACAGTCGAATGAATACGCGATGTTGGAGATTTGTCCAGCAATATGAAGAAAATAATACACTATCATCGGTCAATATAAGGTGTCAAATGTTGTACGTCATGTAACCAAAACTTATGCGCTCTTCTCGCCAGGATAGCGAGAATATTTTATGTGCATTCGACTTTCTCCGCGAGTTACTTGGGAAGATAAATTCGCAAAGTTACTGTCGAAGTATCATTAACTATAGTAAAACGTTTAGTGTGATCATTTTTCGTTTCTCAGCTTCCTCCCCCCTCTCTCCGAGGTTATTACGTTCAAAACGTTTCACGCTGCTTTTATAGAATGGATTCAGTACCATCTTGTCTTGACGTGTTAAAAATGATAAAGAAGCCGACGACGCCGACGTTATAAATTCGCGTCGAGATCAGGACGCGCAGATATTTCTTTCACGCAATGTGTAATCTTTACGTTTCGTTGGGCGTGGATGCCGGATGCAAATCGGCTGAAATAAATACGTCTCTCGCGATTCCGTCACGGTCCCGTTAGAAAATATGTAAATTCCTGTCTCGTTTGAAGCATACGACAATAAGAATAGGATTATCCCGCTTCTAGACGGACGGCTTTGCGTCACTCGAGAAACGATTTCAGAGCCGCAACTACTGCGCGTTGCATCTTCAAGTAACACGCTTCAAGGAAGGAGCGACACTTCTCTTCGGCCGGTAAGCGTGAATAATCGCGTTCCGGCGCAGCTTTAGCTTCGACGAATACTGAATTCCTCGTAGCTTCGCAAATGGCAGAAATTAGGGCATTAAAGATGAACATTCCGACGAAAATGGATGAAAGTGCAGTCAGACGCAATAAAGTCACTTCCATCTTCGGCGGACGCTCTCGCGCGTCTATTTTGAGACATTTCGCGCTTTATAATTGACTTGCAGCAAACAATAGATGCATAAACGCTGATTTTATTTGATGTTGTTAGCGTTGTTTAGCGAACAGTTTAATCGCATGCCCGTCGATTATCCGGCAATTAAACCAGTAGAACAGGCCCATGTTAAACGAACGGAAATGTGAATTGAATAACATTAATCCCTTTGCTCGTAACAGGCGCGTCTCGTTCGGCGAGCCATAAAATTTCCAACAACTGTGCACCAATGTAAAATAATTCGACGATCTATTATGCAAATAGGGATAATAAAAATTTAGTTGATATATACAATATTATAAAGTATAAACCTTGACAATATCTGTTGTTAACGACGCTTTTATCATATAGCAGCAATTAAATTGATGCTATAAAATATTGAATTTGTAAATTAAATTTTGTATTCTTTATATTTAGAACAAAGATTGCATTAACGGATATACTGGCGATTAGGTTTTTACAAAAGTGAAAAACTTAGTAATATCATTAACATCGCATTATGCCATAATTCTGTAAAATACAAGCAAGGATATTCAGTTCATAAATTTCGAAATACATTTACCAAGATATTCTTTACTTTTATGCTTCGTCGCAGCTGATCTCTCAGCCATGCAGCTTCCGATCTGTGCGTGGAATGGTTCCCTGCAGGCTATTTCTTCAAAATGCAAAACTACACGCAGAGGGACCTGTATATACATCAGACGTATCTTTTTAATTACATAAATTATCTAATAACCTGAATTTGTTTTTTTATTCGGCTATCATAAATTTTTAAATTTAACGTCTGATAGATTATAATTAATTCTACTAAATGCATATATAATGTCTGCGATAATCTAATTTCCTTAATAAAATTTATTGTCGTATTCTGTTGTTGTCATATTCTGAAATAGGTACTCTACATATTGATATATCAGTGCATGATGATATTCCTGTACACGGCGTGATTATTTGAAGCATTTTGATTATCAAGAGTATGTCGATTTCTATTGAATGTAATATATTACGTCAAATTGATAATGGCTCAACATTTGATTAAATTCTCACGAAACGCGCAGCATTGTGTTGATACTAGTAAAATGCAGCATCAGCATCTTTTTGAGCGGTCATGTGTATGGTTGCTTTGATCGAAAATTGGAAGTGGATATTGGTTTTAAAAATCGTAGAGAAAAACGAATTATATATTGCACGCTGTTGATATGTCGACGTAAAGAACGAAAAATGACGGACCTGCTCCCGGGCAAAAAGCTTTCGCGTACAAAATTCTTCAACAAAATTAATTTCCAATGACGCGATTGCTGATATTAAAAACTTATTAATAGTAAGTTGTGTGTGTGTGCTTAGTGATCCCAGGTGACCGCAGTTCGCCTGCTTTAAGACGCTAAAGCAAGTACGTTACTTAAAAGCAAGTAGGTTACGTTCTTAAGATCCAGCAGTAATCCTACAAAATCCATGACGTAGTGAGTATGTATGTATGTATATTTAAGCGCGTGCTTAGCGCGAATAAGTAGAGACAGACATCGCGTCGTATACTAATAAATCAATGCTCTGCGCGATTTTCTTTCAAGAATTGATTATTTCTTCCATGTTTCGTAAGTTTGATTAATTGATGTATCAGCATTTTTTATTTCGTATTTAAAAAAGGATGTTAAAAAGAAGATGATTTTTGCCCATAAAAGTGTAAGTAAAAGGAATAGCGTTTTTTTATAGATTTCAACCTCCTGAATACAATAATGTTAATATAAAGTTCGGGATCGATAGGGAACACCTTGAAGATTGAGCGTGAACATAATATATTTAAATAAATTTCAATATTCTTGCTTACTTTTCAAGGTGTTCCCCAAATGCCACGAACTTTTTAATAATTTTATCATATTCAGGAAGTCAAAATCTACGAAAACCCCTATTTCTTTTACTTATATCTTTTTGAGCAAAAATCTTTTTGGAGAATATATTAAAAAAGGTCCGACTTTTGTCCAAAAGAATGTAAGTAAAAGAAATAATGTTTTTTGTAAATTTTGACTTCCTGAATATGATAAAGTTGTTAAAAAGTTCGTGGCACTTGGGGAACACCTTGAAAAGTATGCAAGAATATTGAAATTTGTTTTAAATATATCATGTTCATGCTCAAGGTATTCTCTATCGATCCCAAACTTTTTATTAACATTATCGTATTCAGAAGACAAAATCTATTTAAAAAACGCTATTCTTCTTATTTACACTTTTGTGGGCAAAAATCGGCCTCTTTTTAACATCCTCCTTTTACCTGTTTTTATTACAAATAATTATATTATAATATTTATTTTGTAATTGCATATTTACTTATTTGGTTTCAATTAGAAGTATTAATTATAATTACTCTAAGTCCGTTTTCACAACATATAGTTACCTATAACATATAATTACTTAAGTATTAAATTACCAAGAGAGAAATTTATGAATGAATTTTATTGATGAATTTCTTGGTAAAACCTTTAATCATTATGTAATCACATCTTGTGAAAACGGCTCTATATGTTTCTCACGTTAAAAATAGCAATAATATTTATTATAAAATTTTCTTACTTGCAATTGATGATAATAAGAAAAAATTTATCTTTAATTTATATGCTTGCATTTATATGCGTGTACAATATTTATAAATCGTTTTATTCCTTGCGCAAAGAAAATGCAATGTTTCACTTGAAATAAATTAAAAATCAAATTAAAAATCTGGCCGAATAAAAAGGAAATAAAGAAACAATCAGTTACTTTTTAATCAATTTAAAAAAAAAATAGTCAATTGAGCTATATTAAATAATCTTTTTCATTTTTAGACGATTTAAACGTTCAACTTCATCCATCTTCTTTTCAATATTACGCGTCGCTACCCCAAGCCCTCCGTGCAAAATCACCGAGCACGTACCACCGCAGGTCTCCTTAAAGTCGTCGCAGCAATCGGCGAGTTTGAGACATGCGTGATCGCAGTAGCACGGCTTGTCGCGCGGGCTCTCGATAATCGCGTTCGGCGATTCTTTCTGAATGACGCAGCCCGAGTCCCTGCCTTGGCAACAGAGCTTCGCGGAACTGCAGCTTCCGGCGGCGGTCAGGGAAATCAGCGTGGCGACGACGATCAGTCTGGCCAGCCTGGTCGCGTCCTTCCTCCACATTCTCCCCGCGATTCCGCGACCCTGATGACCTTGCTCTCACCGCCACCACGACGACCTTGGATTGTTGATTTCGCCGACAGTCGTGGAAACACCACGCACGTGCCGTAACGACGATTCGCACTCGTTTACTTTACAGCAACTCGTCGCGCGCGCGATTAATCGTCGGCATGTCGATCTACTAGTCCCACGTTTCAAGATATCAGTTCCTAGTCCGTCCGAGAGAATAACTCTTCAGTTGTACAGGAGCTATTGTTCGAAACCACAGTTCATTCAATATTCCCAATATCGACATTTACCGACCATTAAAACGCGCGACTCTACGAGAGCGCACTTTACATTTGCATATGTAATAAAAATAATTGTTTTGTGTTTTTGGGTCTCTTAACAGAAATATAAAATAATTATAATCGTCTCTCTCAATTAGAAATCTTTAATATTTCTTTTTTTTTATATGTTTCCGCAATCAATTAAAACTTGTTCAACAATAATATTATTATTTATTCTCGCGGATATTAGAAAAATCAAAATTAAATTAGGAAAGTCTACGAGAGCCACTCTGCGATACGCATCGATAGAATTTTTTGCATATCACCACAATGAGCGATCCTGTCGCGCTCGACCCTTCGGCGGAGGGTGTCGCGATCCAACTGAGTCGAGTTTCAGGCGTTTCAGCCCTCGCGAGCGCGAGCGCGAGAAGAGCGTAACGAGGCGCGCGGTATGTTGCGCCTTCGCCGACCCGTCGTCCTTGCTTTTCGTACTCTCGGCGCACCTCCCACGGGAACCGCAGCAGCCGGCACCTGCCTCACATCGGCGCATGCCCCGCCTGTTCTCACGGGACGCCACGATTTAGTACCTGCAGCTTTTAATGGAATTTAAAGGGCAACAATTCGTACCATGTACCACGCTAACGTACATGGGACATCCCCTGGAACCGTTGGATGTCTTACTCCTGGCGTTTGTTCAATAGAAAAACGACTTGTTCTTAGCGCTAACATCGTAAGAGATCAGTCTTACTGACGGAACTTACTTTATTTCTAACGTTCAACAATATTTCGCTATCAATTTACAATCTTTGATCGATTACAAAAAGACACCTTATATATGCGACCTCGATAATATCTGACAGTATTGTACTGTTATTATTGCATAATGAGATTTAAATAAATACTATTGTTGTCACAAAAAATGTTGAAGGATTAAAAAAAATAAATTTCATTATGTTCACTATTATTCATTTAGAGGATGTGTTACAACATAAAAATGCGTATTCAAAAATTCTATAACACATCTCTGGTAAAATTCAATTAGCGGAAAAAGCATTAAAAGTATATTTAATTGTACTATTGCAATTACAGATATGCATTAAAATACATTTTATCGCGATAACATCATATATACAAGAGATGAAAATATTGATTATTCGCTTAAACTTACATTTACTTATTTTATTTTAAATTGTATTATCTATTTGCTAAAAACAAATCTTCCTCCTGAACTCACTAAAGCTTCTGTAAGAAATTTAAAGATATATTTAAAAAAATTAAAAAATTACTTAAAAAAAGCATTCAAGAATAAAAAGTTGAGACATTTAATTTTTATAAAATATTACTGAACAACTTTCTCTATATAAATAATATAAATCGAGGAAAATCTCCGCTGCAAAATGGATTGCTCTCTTGTCTCAAAGTTTATTTGCTAAGAGAGAAATATGTACACACACGTTGCTTTTAGAGTCCGTTCCGTTTCACCGGTTTCACGATGTATTATTTTATCCTTGTTGACCGGAATATTGAAAGATAAAATGATGCGTGTGCGCCCATGATTCGTGAGATGAAACTCATCCAAAGAAAGAATTCTTTTTGTATTCTACTTATCACCGGGATAGCGCGAACGCAGTCCCGACTATCAAAAATTGTACGCCCGAGATATCCACATTAGGGATATTCGCAAGGGTCAGCTCAACCGTAGTGCAATGGAAGAGCCTCGCCCTGGAGGAACCGCCTTCATGATCACGGTAACCTCTGCGCCAGGTAAGTATGCTTTCAGTCGCGACGAGCCTCAATTTATCCCCATCGTGGATGCATTTTAAACACGAGTAACTGAGTCACGCCTGCGAAATCTAACGGCGAGTTCGCGAACTTATGCCGTGCGCTACCATGCGCCACGTAGCGATCGATTGTGTACTCTTTATCGTAGTCGACGTAGTGACGTAATCCAATAGCCAACGACCAACATTGTCGCCCGACGACACACAGATTAATCTTCCATTTTCGAAAAGTGTTTGTGTTTTTTAATCTTGATGTGCCAAATTTTCGTATTTTTATATACATCGATTTGAAGTCTAAAATTAATGAAAAGTTAATTATTATTTTCAAACAAAGGCAAATGCATATCTTAGAAAAAGATTAATGTATTTTTTCTGCAGACAGGAAACACATATAATGTTTATATTTTTACGATTAATTAGCTCATATTATAATTATATACAGATTGTATAAAAATGTTTTTATATAAAAAAGAAATACGAATGAAATGGATAGAAAACAAAGAGATCTAAACGAAGAGAACTATAGATTATAGAATGAATAAGCAGAAAGAACTCGTTTATTATTAATTAGCGAGTCATTGATTAAAGTTACACGAATCTTACAAGGAGGTGCATTTAGGTAATGAGGATCTCTCCAGATCTTTCTGAGAGACGGCATCCAGAATGGCTAATATATATGCGAAAGAAGAGAGTAACGGGCGGACTAAGGTTAAAAAGCCACTCACGCCTTAGAATGCAGTCTGTATTAAGCAATGAAAGTTGGGTACAGATATTGCGAAAGTTTGCCGCATGTTCTATAATTGCGCTCCATTGCCAAGAGCATAATCTCCTCATCTTCTTCGTCTTCCCTCTCTCCTTATTCTCCACTTGTTTCTTGTTTCTCATTATCCGACCTTAGGCACGTGCTCGGCTCGTGGCGTGGGTTTACGATGAGAGAGGTTGTTCCAATTTTGTATGAATGCATAAAAACTTTTCGATGTTCATTCAACCACCCATCGCGATGCTAATGAACTTTTGTGCTCGAAGATTTTCGACGTACAACATTATACATATACAACTTTCAAATAACGACCGCCGCTTTAATTGATAAAATAAACGAGAAATATCTTCTTTTCTTTTAATATATATATATATATA